AAGGGCGATCACATTAAAACCACAGAATACTTTGTGCCATTGTAATACGACGTATGGATGTTTAAGTACCAGTAAGGTATAATTTATGAATTTAGATTATAGCACTCTAAAGACGCTATCGCTATCATAAAGCAATAAGTCACAACCTTCCGATTTCGTTGCTAAGCCCGAGCAGAGAACCCTCAGACAAGAACAGCCACGTACCCAGGCACAAAGCAACGAAATCATCGTTAAAGCCACATGACTTGTCTGATGCGATGCATGAGCACTCCCAAGAAGGAAACTGTTCCGTCACATGACGGATGGAAGCATCTGAATGTACAATGCTCAGATGAAACGCTGTGGTCACTGCTCCATCCTTCCTGGTCTTGGCGGTAACAACCTCACTTCCAGGAAGTGCCGCCACGGGACTCGGGCTCCCACTCATCCCCCTAAACCTGTCATTTTATCCCTTTTTAGCGACTTCTTGGTGGCGCTTTTACGAGTTTAGCTGCACTGCCATCGTGAATACCCTCCCGATAATCCGCAACGGGACAAAAATTCATTCGGGGCGAGCACCTGGTTTCACTGGGCAGGGGATCTGCTAAGAGCCTTCTCGTCATCATAAGCCCGTTCTTCTCGGCTGTACAACAAACTCAGGCTGAACAACATAATACTGAGCCCTACTGAGGCCAAGCGGTGGGGTATACGGTGGTCCTAATTGAGAGACTTTGGTACCGTTCACGGATATTCCCCGTGTAGTCTCAGACTAAAAACAAAAGCAGTTCTTGCCACTTGATTCGTGAAGTTTGATGTCTAACGTTATCTTGAAGCAACACGGACCCTTTCCCCTATCACCGGCTGCCAGACATACCTTCCGCAACTTTTCCTCTATTAATCTTTATTCGTGATCGGACGGTACCGCAGGGGCAGTCCGAAAAGGTCGGAGGAAGGCTCAGTGTATGATACCGTAACGGGACCACCAAACAGAAGGTCTTATTTGATAAGAGGTCTTTCTGTAGCGACTGGCTAATCTTTTCGTGCAAACTCACTCCTCCGATAATCGTCCAGTGACCACTTCTACAAACGATTATCAGACGATCAGGAGAAGGATCATATTCTACGTAAAAGCCGACTAAAACAAGTGGTACAGCATGAAAGTGATGGTTTCTCAGTCCGTTCATGTAGCATCTACTTTGCCTAAGCCTTTGAGCTTGTGCTTTCCCCCNCCCCCTAGACGAGCCTGTAACCGACCTCAGAGGGACGAGGGGTTTCGATATACCTAGCCAACAACAGGACTGCGGTTTGGTTCTTGGACTATACGTGTGGTAGCCCTCGACTTGGCATTACCCTTCCTCCGCCCTTATCTTGTTTTATGAGTTCAAAAAAGATATTAGCACCGAGGGAACAGCCATTAACATTGTCAAAGTAAATGGAAGGAGACCGATAAGTGCGAATCAGGACAGACGACGGTTATGGACATTTTGCTCCCGAGAACACAGCTGAAGGCGAACCCCTTTTGCTGATCTGCCCCGTTAGGTGAAAACGTCCTGCGGACCATCCTGGAGACGGAAATTATGAATGTTGGTTACGAAAGGTGAAAAAGTTATAACCGGCTATTCGGCCGAGTTCGCTATGGGAACTATCGAATCCACAGTCATTAGAGGGTTGCTCCGCTAAATACAGCTTCACGAAAGTGATCCTCTTCCACGCCCAGCTTCTTAGCTTACTAGGTCCCTTGAGACCCGCAACGAGGTTCGGTCATGGGAAACTACCTTCTACGAGAACGTGGGTTCCAGGGGGAAAGCGGCGAATCGTCAATTTTCGTCTTTCCTACCCTTGGTAGATACCCAAAGCCTAGTGTTCCTACGATAACCCTTGGAGATCCCTTGTCTCATAGCGCAAAAGTCTGAAATGAAGAAGAATTCCTTCCGGACATCCCATCTTCTCCCTGTGTCAGTGCTCGAAACTCAACAATTGGTGAAGTAGACGAATAGTCTTCTGAACGGAATTGTTTCTTCACTACTGAAGGGACAAAGAGTGTTCAACCTTCATAAGGACCTTCATTCTGCATCAGAGCAAGTTCAGGCCACGAAATTCGCCGAAATGATCAGCACAGCCTTTGGATCAGTTTCTGGTATCCTCCTTCGAAGAGCCGTTAACACTTTTGCACTAGCAATTGTCTGAAAAAGCCGGCATAACGAAATTTGTTTGTTCCGTGCACTTCACAAACGGTCCGTTCGTTTAAAGCACGTGATGGGGAACAGGGCTTGCTTTCCGTCTGATAAACACGCCAAATCTAATGAAGCAAAGTTACGCTTCATTGGAGAGACACTGTACGGCCGTACCGCCCATGTCTTTGGTGTTCTGCTCACTCTCCAAAGCCTTGAATCGTTCCCAGTAGTTCCTTCACTGCTTTTGTTTCACAATATGAATGGCTCTCGAACAGTCTTCTGAAAGATAATTTCATCTCTTGCAAATCCTATTTCTTTGAATTTTAGGGGATTGAGAAATTGTCATCCTTATGGTAGAAACTTTCCGAATAACTTGGGCTGACTGACCGTTTTAATAATCTTCTAGGAATTTATCCTCTGCTACTCATTAACTCTTACATGAATAATGGCGCCTGGTCCAGTTCGCAGCGTGGAAGATTCTCCCATCACTCCAAAAAATTTTCTGGAAATTTCGGAAAAGCTTCTGACATGCACTTGGATACTTTTTCGAACGCACCCTGTGTAGAGCTTTGCCCAAGACCCTTGTTCGAAATTGGGGAATAAATCGCCGAGATAAAATGATTATTACACTATCCTCGACCTCTTAAGCACTTCAATTGACCACCGGGATATCGTTCCGAGTTGCGGCTACAGCCCTTCCCTGGGTGATTTCAATATGGAACAGATGATATGCTTAAAATCAGAACAATTGCAGTTCCTTCAGCATACCCCTTGGTCTAGCTTCATAAAATGTTCCTCAGTGGTGTAGAAAATGAAAATCCTAGACCACTGGATAGCGTAGTGAATAAGAAAAAGTGAACTTTGGAAATCTGTTTCATAATCCACAATGTCCAGAACTCGAGTTCGAGATTCCGTTCAAGTGAACCATACCTTCCCGTCCACCGAAGTGGGTAGGGGTTACCAAACTCATTTGTGAAGATAAAGAAGCTGATCAGCAGCGGCTGAGCACCGCATTTCCTTGTTTAAGCCATTCAAAATCGTCACTAGATCCCTTCCCTTTACGATAAACGTAACTAAACGTTGTTACTTCTTCCCTATCACCTGTGCGGAGCAGAAGGGAACCGCGGCTTTGCGAGCATTCCAAAACATCGATGGAGTCGTGAAGAAGACAAAGAACATTCGGATTAACGCTCATTTTTCCGGCACTGCATATCTTCCTACTCTGATATACGCCCCAGAGGCTTGGACTCCACGCAAGCAGAAAGAGCATGCAAGCAGCGTCATTCAACGCCCTGTGGAAAGGACAGCGCTTGGAGCTCCCCGGTACACGTAAGCTCGGTTGGAACCGAAATTCCGAGCTCGGTTAACGAAAGAAGGTCAAGGATGCCACTGCTTGCGCTGAGAAATCGAAGACCAGGTGGGCCGAGCACGATGTGATGACCGTTGGACCGGGCGGTACTGACTGAACCCGGGTGTTAACGAACACTCGGATGGTGGAATGGGTACGTTACTGACTCCCTCCCATAGAAATAGGTGATCAATGGAAAGGCAGGTGATACAGGTGGAAGCTAAAATGATCACAGCCACCCGTTTATGGACTATCAGAAACATTGCATGCAAGCTCTTGCGTTCCAGTTAACATGACATCCATTCAGGAATAACCAAGCCCTTCTCTTTATTAAGAGCTGATCAGTGAGTCTACCTCAACTGTCATAGTTCTCTTTGACCCCGCATTCCACTGCCTTGATCGTTCTTTCCAGTTACGCCGTTGTCGTTGAGTTCCATTTTTGTAGCGCAGTGTCACAACTTCTTTGAGACTCGACCTTGTCATTAGATGAGACCTAATTCGAGCACCATTCCACTTCCAACTATACGACCGCCACTTTCATGATTCTCTCTATTTCTGTAACGAACCCATTCTAGTCGCATCTATACTCTGAGGCTTTTTCCACGTAGATGACCTCTACTTACCCATTTAGTCTGGCAATAGATAATTGTTAATTCGATAGAAAAGGCTTGGTATAGTCCCGATAGCAGCCTTATCACACGTACGGCCACGGGATCAAACCCCTACTCGACTTGCTCTCATGCCAGCTCTCAGCCTTTAAGCTACTTTTGATGGTTCACTTGCTTCAGAGCGATCAGGATTCGCTGCCTCGTCTACGTACGGGTAAGCGCTTCGGAGTTCAAGTCAAGGGTTGGCACTGAGAAACTGACCTGATCCCGACCGGGTGGGGCTCTGAATCTTAGGTCGTGCAATCGTGAACCAACGATCTCTGTTTTCGCTTTCATCGACAAATGAACTGAAGGGCGTATCCAGTATGAGAAAAATGCGCATTCATCCTTCTCTCCTTATCACTCCATAACTACACTGCTTACACTGCCCACTGTCGAAACTATCTTCTCCTTAAAAGAATCTAAAGAACACGTGAACGACGTTTCTTCACTTCTTTTTCACACGAACCTTTAAAAGTTTATGTAAATAAATGGTGAAATAAGAAATCGCGTCTAGACGCCATCACTATTAATACTGTGCGACGAGCAAAAATGTCTTATGTTAATTTACGAGCTCTTTTTCTGAGGCCATAAATCCTCCCCACTTTACAGTCCTTTTTTTAGTTTTGAATATTGAGAGGCAAAAATCTTTGGAAATGTCACGATACCATTCGCTAAAATTGCTGTATGACTGAGTAATCCTCTTCGAAAATTAGTTAGCCGGCAATCTACGTGCCTATCGTGCCTTCTGGATGAATTTCACTCGCTTTCCATATGAAGCTCCTTATCGCTTGTTTTCCAATCGCCGTTTTACTCTTGACTGAATGATTCACTTCTTGACAAATTCATTCTATGGTTTTTGAGGAGATATCAATGAGAGCTAGCAATGTTGTGGCTCAACTGTTCCGCAAAAAGACATTTGCACGCGGAGCAGAACTGCAATCGGAGCTCAAAAGATGTCTGGGACCGATAGAAGTAATGTTCATAGCTGTCGGCCAAATGGTCGGGGCAGGTCTTTATGTTTTGGCTGGTATGTTTCTTCAAGTGGCTTTTCATGTCTTTTACTTCTCTCCGGTTAGAAGTAGTCCATGAATGCATATTATCTTCATTGAACACTTACCGAAAGCCGAATTGAGCAGTTTCTGAAGCCTCTTGTTCTCAGGCACTGTTATATTCAAGCAAACGGGTCCATCAGTCATCCTCTCATTTCTATGTGCAGGTTTTGCCGCTCTAATGTCAGCATTCAGCTATGCTGAATTCGGTGCAAGGTGAGTTCTCGCAACTTCTACCAGATCGACTGCAGCTATACTGTCTCTGAGCAGGTTCCTTGACTGATGTGACCAGAGCTTATACTTGTAGGTTTCCTCGAGCTGGTAGTGCTTACACTTACACCTACATCGGAATAGGAGAACTATGGGCATTCGGAATTGGATGGACTGTCATACTCGAGTTGATGATTGGTAACGCAGGTCCGTAACTAGTTTGTATGCATTCCGATTTCATTTCCAAGATCCTTCAAAAACTTGAAAACAACGTGGCAGTATAACTGGATGTTGGTACAGGGCTCAGAAGAGAGTTATGTTCAGTGAGTTGGAAAGCAGCGTTTCCGGTGTTGGCTCGTCTTCAGATGGCCGCGTCAAGGAGGAGAGCTGAAAGTGGCGCCTTTTCATAAAATTAAAAATATAGAATAAAACATCACACAAACAAAATCACTTTAATGCAAGGAGTTGAAATCACTGAAAANAAAACACTCAGCAATGTGCATAATAAAACTTTCATCGCACAAGCTTTCACATACAGTATCCGGTTAAGTCAGGACTACCTCACGAAGGTTTCTGAAAAAACTGAAGTTTCTATCCCAGTACTAGTTACCTTCTACTAATTGTGATTTTTAGCTGTCGCAAGATCTTGGTCTGGCTACCTCGACGCGCTGACGAATCGTGCCATTAGCAATTACACATTGGAGACACTAGGCACACTTAGTTCGGTGCGTTTTGGAAGTTTCATAGGTAACTATGTTATTATCAAGAAATCGTTTATTTTAGATGAAATCGCTTATTCGACTCACAATAATATTAATCAGTAACTTTCTTATTGACTTGCGATAGCAAATTTGACATTGGAGTCATGAACATCGATAAAAGATTTCTTGGTTTTGACGTAATCTTCAAGAAGAAAAACCAGTTGTCCGAGAGATATCCGAGTTTCGGAATACCCCGAGCAAAAACTTACTCAGAAGTGGCTTGCTGAAGTGAGAAGAAATATGCATGCATAATGGGTGAACAACGATTTTTCCTTTCGGGAAATCATCACACTCGTGGCTATGCATTCAGGACGGTTCAGCGTTCAGTGCGACCGATTTATGTTCTTGTAATTTTCATAACCGATCGCTGCTACCATTCAGGGTGAAGGTTTCTTTGGCCGCTATCCCGATGTCCTATCATTTGCGCTGATCTGTGTCACTTCTGTGATAGTGGCTCTCGGTTCAAAGTCGTCCGCTGGAGTCAATGCTGCCTTCGTCATTCTGAATCTTCTGGTAAGGTGATCCCAAGTGTGAGATACAAAATGGATCCATTTTTCTTTGCGTTCATTCTAATATAAAGTATGTGAATTGAGAAAGTTACGCATTCGAAGCAATGTGGCCCATGCCAAATGCCGAGGATGTACTGACTATGTGGGTGGAGTTACTGAGACCTTTGCTCATTTGACTCCTCCACTCCCATTAGCAGTTTCTGCCGTGAATCAACTGTTAACTGCCTTATTTCAGATGATTGCATTCATATCGATTTACGGTTTAACATTTGCAAACTTCTCACTATGGGTAGGAACTGACGAAGATGGAAAATCGAGGTCAGTTTGGTATGTTAACGAGCTTATTTAACATATACTTACCTGCATTCCGTTTAGATTTTTCCCCTTTGGAATCGGTGGAACGTTGTCTGGTGCTGCCACTTGTTTCTTTGCTTTCGTGGGTTTTGAAGCCCTTGCCTCGGCTGGAGAAGAAGCGAAAAGTTCGTTTTTTCTCAATAACTATTGATCTCTCCAGAAGAAGAAGGTGGTGTTTCTGTGGAAATCAGAGATGGATACGATAGCCATTTTGATGATGTTGCCAACAGCAGAATCAAAGAGCTGAAAGAGGTCAACACTATGGGTTGGCTTACAAATGCACAAACTATAAGCTTCGAAAAAAGAAACAAAAAATCGGGGGGTCGGGGGTCGGCCTCCTTAATGTTGCTGCATGCGCACCACACTAGGAAGGTCAGCGCCGTGCGAAGTTTCCTCAATACACTGGCCCCTGGCCTAGCATACGCGGGATTCAGGGATCCAGAGTAAGAGTTTAGAGGAAATGAAATAACACATCCATAAAAAGTATGGAATCAGAAAATATGAAAACCAATGAATAATATTGAACTACAACGACCAGCAGTTGCTCATGGTTTCTGGTTGAGCTAANAGCCTCCTGAGACACCTAACGCATCCTTATTCAATTCTAGAGTGACGGTGCGATTCACATTCCACAACATTCCTTGCGCGGAGCAGACTAGCTTCGATGTAAAACAGTAGTGAAACATTAGGACAAACATAGAAAGAAACGACGAAGTAAGTTAGATCAGTGAGGACAGTGATGGCGAAGACGATAACAAGAGACCACTGACAGCGGTTACAGTTGTCGGCAACACATTGAAAAGTGGAACTGCCTAGCAACCTTCTGGTCGACTGTGGTGCAATGCTTTCCCGGCGGGACTGCAGCGAGCGCTCAGCTAGGCGTCCTTTGAAATAGAGCGAAAGGCACAGCACTATACGACCCTCTCAATCCAACTCTGCGCAATGAAATGCTTCCCAAGTTTCCAAATGGGATCGAACATGCAGAGCATTCCGAAATGGGGATACTCAGCGCTGTTACCTGCACTATATGTTTGGTGGATTACCAATGGAAAGTTGTATTCAGGACGTGTAACAAAGGTTTATTTCGACGCCTAGTACAAAGATCGACCATAATAATACATTCACGGGGTTTATATACACAATATGTGGGCGGTCCTCAGATACCGTATCGTCACTGGACTTTAGGGGGCCCGCGGTGGGACTCAAGCTCGAGGTACGAGAGAGCGGACCGCGCCAACGGCAGAACTTAGGTTACCTACTTGATTGCACACTTATGATGCCGCCAGGTCATGCCTGTGGTCTCAACTCAGGAGATACTCATGTCCAGTTGTGCCTACGGTTAATATGTTGAACTAGCATGTTATCCTCATTCTTGTAAAGGCTAGTTCTACTATTAGGTTGAGTCCCAAGTCCTCGGACAAAGTGATACTGATGACTTCTAGAGATCATAACTCGGGAAAGAGGCGACGAAAATGGCCGAGCGTGGCATCGTTAGATAGAGTACTAAAAGCTCTTCCAAAGAAATACTATCAAACACACCTGACCGTTTCCTGCGCCTGATCGTGAGGAGAGAATGTGCCATGTCCGCGCGAAAATCCATGTCATACTGCTTCAAAGCATGAGGCACCCATCGACCGAGCTTTTGCACCTTACCGATTGACTTCGATCTACGAATAATAGTGGACTGACTCTCCGAGGGTGACTGCCAGTTCACGAGTAGTT